AAACAGTAATGATTATAATTTATAGTACCTGTATATAATACCGATATAATAAATGAATACGTTCAAAATATAATCACTATCATATGGGGCCTACATATTACATATGATTATAACTGAATGCATATACGGAAACGTTAAAAAAAAAAAAGGTGTATAATGAGTATTTCACAAAATAATGAAATTAATCTCATTGTTTGTAACCGTATATTATAGGTACATACTAGCTGTTATATGGCGTGTATACCACCGTAWTATGGAAAATATAATATTATTATATTTAATCCTCGAGTTTCGCTTTAATAGCCGGCACACTACCACAGTAGGCATACCTCGCGAAAAGATTTATGAATATTTTGATTTTAGGCATTAATATCCATCCGAAAAGAAAACCCGTTTATTGGAAAGTACAATATTAATATATTATGTTAATACAATTTATAAATTAAAATGTGCCAGTGRTAAATCGATTTTTTTCATTTTTTATACGAGCAAACAATTCGTCGTAAGGTCACGCGTGCGTTGCATTATAAAATATTGTTTTAAATTCGTAAACATAAAGCCACGTGGTTAGCATTATGCAGCGCATCGCTATCGACGCGTGCGAATCGCGTAAATTATGTAAATTTAAATATGCCCGTGGAAGCGGACCAGGCAGTCTCGACGTTATTCAGAATATCACGAAGTAAATTCTTAAAACTCTTGTACCTACCATCGAAACCGACATCATCCGGTATAATCTACCAGYATTATATACCGTTTATATCCGAGGGTAGCCACCACTGCAGTATTATTCATTTCCAYGTTATATATTATGCAAATATGTATGTTATTWACAACRAATAAAACAATAATATAAAATAAGATTGTAYATTATTGTAACAATTATAATATCTCYCCGACAAATGCTGTCCGAGGCATAATAAAAGCAGCACGGTTGTATCATCAACGGCTGCTTAGATACAAATCGCTATTCGAACTTCTGTTGTAGGCTGCAGTATTTCTTAGGTTCACGCAAATTACAAACAAATATTGAACTAAAACTTTATTTCGATAAAAAAAAAACTATTAAATTACATCTCAAACCTTAGGGAATAAATTGTACACACACACACACACACACACACATATAGTTATACATAGTTATAAATATATTATATAATATGTATAACTCTCTAAATTACGTATCACTCAAACGGTTTTGAATAATATTATGCGTAGGTAACTATATTTTTTACAAAGCTATTTAGTATCTATCCAAAGTATTAATCGGCGAGTTCTCGCAATATTGGCCGCGAATTGGACCTTTTTTTTTCTTGGTAAATCACTACWTGGGGGMCGTASTGTTTTCACATTGCTTAGCCCCAAACATTGCTTAGCCCTTGGCCGGATTGGACTGGACGCCTACACTTTAACCTATTCGGTTATTACCTATGTTATTGTTTGACGATTCGTGGGTTTCCTAATAAATTTAAAAAATACCATTTTATTAGTCATTATATAATGTATTGGTTTACTCTTCGTGGACAAAGTTTTTCCCAAAGCATAATATGATAATGTGTATTAAGTATTTAATAGCTTTAATGCAAGCATACAGCTAGGTATACCTTATTAACAAAAAAAAATAAAAAACGAAACCGATTAGAAATCTTTATATGTAAAACAACTTGTAATTATTTTGTAAGATGAAGAATTTTTTAGTAAAATAATCATTGTCTTTAAGGGTTTAATATTACTTACAGTCTTTTATGCAAATCGTTTTGTTAGTATATAAATTGAGATCAGAATTAATGTTAAAATTCAAATTTATGCATGCACTTCAATCTCCACAATCATTGTAACCCCTTGATCTCGGAAATATCTGTTCCCACTGTTATTGGTGACTCCAGAAGGAGTTAGTCTAAACCTAAAACCAAGCGTGGTGTCGTGATATACTAACTAACCCCCCCCCCTTTTTGCATGTTATGAAATTTTATAAATAGATTTCACAATACTCCGTGTTTGAATTGTAGTAAATTTTATCTAGTTTTTTTATTTTTTTTTTTATAAATCTACAACATCATTTATAAAAAAATTCCTTAACAGATTGTACAATAAATTACTTGATAAAAATAAAATAAAAATTTTTTAAATGTTTATCTGCTTTGACTTAGAATCTGTTCATCAAAAATGTGATTAATGTTATGACAGATTTTTGGGTTATTAGGTATTAAGTTCTCAAATTGTATTTACCCACTGATGAATATAAATATTATAAGCTTTCACATTTTAAATGTACTAAAATAATGGTAGCTAAAATGTATAAATAAATGCGTTAATAAGAAAATACTGTAAAATACTGAAATTTATATTATAGCTCAGGCGTGTTATTTATTATTACGTAGCGTATAGGTGGGAAGAGGCTTAAGATAGTTGTTTGCAAAGAAAAATATATAAGGACAGTAGGTACCTGATGCGAATGTGTGGAAAAGTTAGATAAGCGATGGTGATGTGGTTTGACGGAAGAGGATTATTTTGAAAAGAATAAATGTATAAGTAATATGAACAATATAGAATAGGTATATAAAGCTATGTACTTACGCAGAAAAAATAAAGTTGGCGAACGAAAAAATTGAAAGACTTTGTTTAACAATTGAGAGAATACATTTATAACCTTGCAGCATACGTTATACAGTGAAAATCACTTTAAATCACTTCTTAATTTTTTTTAAATAAATTAGAGTGAGACATTGGAATTACAATTTAAAAAATCTGGAGAGAATGTATCATCGTTTACAAAAAGTTTTTTTCAATTATTAAAAATAATACAGACGTTTTCTTATTTTTCGCTAAAGTACCCATTTACTTCAAACGCTCTCAAAGTTGAAGTTTGAAGCAAATATTCTACTCTAAAACGTGACCACTATCACAAACAATGACATCATCGTAAGACCCCAATATATATAATATGTATATTATATATTATATTACACACACTCCACTTAAAGACTCTAAAACAATTCAATAATTGTTAGTTTTTGACTTGGATTACTTTTTCAATTTAAGGAATAACCGGATTTTACACTAAAATATGTTTTGCAAACTCTACGCATTAACAATTAGCGAGAAAACACAAAATATGTTCGTATATCACGTAATTGAATGGATAATATKAATGTATGTGCCGGGTCTGCTTATCTCCGACTTGTTGGAAATATACCAAGTTTATTATTTATTGCGATAAATAGGTTGGAAAATTTTAGTAACATTTGAAACTATTTAACAAAGTTGGTCAAGCAGAGCACACATGCGCCAGATGTGATTTTCTATGATCCGAAAAAAAATATTCAATTCAAAGAGATGTGACATGCGTTCTCCGGTCGAACCTCAATTTTCAAAACTTCAGTACATTATTATTATTTCAATACAAACATGGCCAACGCTGTACATGTCTGCAGTGTTAAATTTATGATGGAATCTTGGGACGTGCCGGTTCGACTGGCTGTAGGGTATGAGCAAAATGTACGCAATACCCAAATGTGAAATGTTAGGGATTGCCGCATATGGCGGATAGTATAAAATATAAATGTACAATAAATAGTAGGAATGCGTGAAACTATAATATAAATACATTTTGTTCCAAGTATCCTAAACTTTAAGTTTGAGAAAATATTATATGGATAGAACAATAAACTTAAAGTCGAGATCGTAGATACGGCTTAAAAAAAAAAGTTATCTAAAATTGAAATATTATACAATTAAAATCAATTTCTGAGACATGAACCGCTCAAGAGAAATATAAAGACCTTGTTAGTATATCACATATTACTTTTAGAAAGATAAACCGAAAATTTAATGCTCACTGATAGTGACTCTAATAAAAGAAGATTTGTCGTAATAATAGCAGGTTAACTTTATCTATGTTTAATCAAATTTTATTTTTTTTCATTATACTATATATATTATATTTACCCACAGTGACCTTTGTTTACATCACGAAATCAGTTTTTTTTTTTAAGTTAATACGTCGATAACTTATATAATATGAGGTACAACAGATTAAATATTAAAATAATAAACATTTTTTGATAGATTTATTATGCAATAATGAAAAGTTTTGTACTGGTGAGGGAGAATTTACTATATTTTTTAGAAATGTAGTAGTCAACTAACACATTTTATTTTCTTTATTTAGTCATAATTTTCTATACCAAACCCATATAAAATATAAAAACTATTACTATATTATTTTGTATGCTGTCATTTAATTTAATATTTTCAATTTATTGTATACTTATTAAAATTAATAATTTCAGCACGGTTCAATAAATTTAATTGGTTTTACAATAATTGATTTTTTTTAGTTAAACTGTCAAAACTTTTCGAGTAGAATGAATGTTTCTAAAGTTTCATAATATATTATAGTCCTATATAATGATTGGAAATTGTACACAAATAGAAGATATTTTAAAGTAATAATTTTTGTAAATAAATACTTTAATTAATCGGTTAATTTTTCAAGCAATTATAGRTACTTAGCAGATTATACCATATTTACGAGTGATAACAAYATATTACTATGTAAAACTATGGATTATTGTGTACGATAGATTAAAAAATACTCATACCTATAAWTGATACAAAACATCAATCAATGATTAAATTAATATATTTCATTTTTTTWAATCGTTTTAATAATTTTTCTACCTTTTCCAGCTAGTTCTAAATTCTGTTTTAACTCAAATTGATATATAATTTTAATATTCAAAAGCTATGCAACAGTGTAATGCAAATTTAAATCATGTTAAGTGCCATGAACACATGAGTACGAATATAGGTGCGGTTAGAAGTACATATAACATACCTACCTATATACTGTAATAGAAGATGCTACTATTCAAAACCTTAAGGTTTTAATAATTCATAGTTTTATTAAAGTTATTATAYATGATGTGTTATTATTCATTGGTTTAACGGCATAAATTATATAAATTACTGAAAAACTTAACAGTATAATCACTCACTTCGATGGCGATCTCAAAATCTTTCTTGTCGATAGTGCCGCTGGAGTTGACGTCTGAAACACACAAAAAATAACGGTTAATAATCGTCCAATTACATCGGGCAAGTGTTTGACAGTTATACGATAGCCCATAGACGTCATAATGAAAGATGACGATGGAGAAAGATTTTCAATGCTGGGCATCGCATTTGGGAACAGCTGGAGGACACGAGAGTGTATGTTTGGAAAAAAAGAGCATCGAAAATAGAGAAAAACGATATTCTACTTTTTTTTCAAGCATTTTGATTTAACATTTTACTGTCAAGTAATTTTAATTGTCTTGTAGAGTTATATAATCTAATGTGGAAATATTTTWAAAAAAGTTTAATTAATTACCAATAGTGAAACTCGGATGTATGTCATATTTATAATTTCCTATTTAAATAACTCCAAAGTAATAAACTGGTACATAATATATACAATATGAGTAGGCTCGTTTTTAATMACATATACCTCTAATACCTACGCAATTAATCAGGTTAAAATTTAATATTACCATTAACGAATGAGTAATGTTAGTTTACAGATTAAATTTAATGCTACCATTATTTGGTACAGTAAATATAATAAATAAATATAGTATAATAATAGATAAATCGTTGTTTCAGTTTATCAGATTATATAGCGACAATGTTTATACAAATAATTGATTTCTGAAACTATTGAACAATTGTATGTTTAACCCACTTTAAACTAAAATATTTAATAGTATGTTTTAGCTTTTAGATACATTTTTAGAGAAAACCCATAAAAAATTATATTTATTTTATACGTATATAAAAATATTTTCCAGTACAATAAGAAAACTACATTAATAAACTTTTTAATAGATCTGTGCGCATTATATTATATTATAAAGAATTTTTCAAAAAGTATTCAAAAATGTAAATTATAACATGTATCAAATTTTGCTGTAAGTTTGTTGTTTAATAATTAAATCTAATCGAGTTTGACAATATATGAATAGCCAATTTTTGATCAATTATTAGCGGTACCTACGTACACGTTTATATCCAAATCTAATATTTATAAAAAACTAACATGGTGTAGTGTAATTTAATATTTAAATCATTATATTTTRACAAAACGTATTGTCGTGTTAACGTATTTAAAATATTGTAATACTGGCTAATATGTTATAATAATTTAATAGGTGCCATGAATGTCGAAAATATTAATCACCAATCTTTATTTTTACTGACATTGAAAAGTCAAAGACCTACCTATAAAGTATATATAAACATCACCGGACTAATTTTCGAAATCAACGATAAATTATCACTTTTATTCATCTAAAATCTTGTTAAGAACCACTGAATACTGTTTGTAACATTATTCTATATGTGTTGTAATATTAATGTATTTAGCTGTAAATTAATTAAATATATTATAAACTGATACGTGTGTGACAACAGGCGAGTAGGACTCCCTCTCCATACGACTGCAGGTCTAAGGAATCCGCTGAATAAACCCTTTTGAACGGACGACCAGCTCGTATGCGGAGACTCGCACACGCAGCAGGCAGTCTTTGAGTAACGCATTACCATTACAGACCATTTCAGAGTATTCGTTTTATTGAAACATTATAACAATTAAATAAAGAATATAATATTGAGCCAAAGTAATTTCGTCTCGTTATTTTTTATTTGTTACGGAGTCGTTAAGTGCACATCCACAACAATCTTAATACAACACAGCAGAGTACCTATACAATACTGCAGTGCCTATTGGATATCTTTAGTCTTTACTGAATCTTATTCATTCATGGATAAATGCGCATTGATGGTTTCGTTATTTTAATATTTCATGCATAAATTACTTTTCATAATAAATTAATAGATTTTAAGAAAATAATAATGTGTATAATGTTCACTGTACACTATGCACTACTAGTTAATAAACTAAGTGATGAACTTTGCTGTTTAAATATTATAAGTTTTTGTATGGTTTGCAACCCTTATAACAATTCTACCAAAATTAATAAAGTTTAAGCAACGAATTTTTATATTATGGTGTTTAATGGTGTTTTTAACTTTATTTTATACTGTAAATTTGCATTAATTATGAGTGTCTTCCAAGTATGTTTATACAATAACGTTGAAATTAATTTACTTTTGTAACTAACAAAAAAATATTCTATAGAAAATGAAATAAAATCAGCATTAATCTATCTGTTAATTTAAAAGAGGTGTAGTGATACATTAATGGAAAATATATTTTCTATGAACAGTTTTGTTAATGATTTTTTAATATATATTATATATAGATTATGTACTTATAAAAAAAAATACGATGGTATTATGATAAAACTTTTTAAATATTTATACTCCATTATTGAATATGATTGATCGAAAGCACATTGAAAAGTGCTGTGTGTGCTAAATCGATATATTATTTTTTGCTATATATTCTGATACTAAACATTTTCTATGTTTTGTCATTATTATTTTTAATGTATCCAAAATAATCAGACTAGCCGGGTCTTTTTTCATTATTTATTCCTCTCTTGACATAATATTTATACAAAATTGTTATCAGGCTGCGGTATATTTTTTAAGATGATATAATAAATTAGTTAAGATAATAGTGAACATTTATTTTAAAATTAACATAATTTATTCGTGTGACATCAAAAAGCATACGCTATAAAAACGTCTGTAAATATTGACCTTTTCTTCAGTAAAAGCTGTTTAGCTACTGATAACGATAAATCTGTTAATCCAGTCCATTAATCTCTTTTGTTGGATTTTCGTCGACCATCTTCTTTGTGCGTTAGCCCGAATTTCAGATCTCTGTTGTAACTATAATATTATATGAGGTTGTGAAATGAACCGAAGAGACGACGACATTCGAAAGTCGGCATCTGGACCCGGCGTAGAACATGTAGGTACCGATAAAAACTGCAAAGTGTTCAGACGACAGAAACAATAATATAACCGAACTGCATTCTAGACAGAAGTGACCTGTGAATACTACGATCAGCTGTGTAAAAAAAAAATACTTTTAAAAAGTGTGTGATTAAGTGTGCAATAAATTAATATTAAGAACAAGTATGTATTAAAAACGCATCTAGAATACTTTAGTGTAGTGTAGATATTAGAATGCTTTTAAATGTTAAGAGAAAAAATGTAACTTTTTGTGTCAAGCTAAAATAAGCGATGGTTTTGAGTTTTCTTTATTAAGTTTAAAAATACGTAGTTGCATTTAGAAGATGCAAGAACTTATGGTGTAGGACTTGGTTTGTTTTTAGTGTAATTAGTTTTCTTCTGAGATATTATCTAGAGCTTTAAAAATTGTTTAACCAACACTAATATTTAATGATTTACACAATCATAGTGTAGCCAATTTAGACTAAGAAAACAATTGTTTCATGAATGTAAACAACTATTGTATCAGGAATGTAGGTAAACAACAGTCCTATKGTTGAAAATTTGATATTATCTTTAACAAATTGTTAATTTTTGTATCATCAAACGAAGTTGTTTGTATAAAATTAAAATATAATTTATTAAACACATTTAAAAAAAAACTGTCTGTTATTAAACGTTGACACAAACGTTTTGTATTTAAAATAAATATTAAACGCGTGTGGTAATAAAAGGGTTTAAAAAAAGTAATCGAGTAGGTACAAGAATACATAATATTATCGTTATTATGTAAATATAGCTGGTATAGTGATGGTATTCAACAAAACACTTTTCAACGCTAGCTCCCGCGAGAGGTGGTCTGGAATACCTGAGGTAACCTACGACGTCTGTCCCCGATGTACTTTTCGGTAAATGTTGAATGTCCAACGTTAAAACAGTCTACGAGTACCTTTGACCGGATGATCTCAGAGTGGCCATACAGTGTATTCTCGATCACTGGTCGCCGAGACATTACACTGTTGATCGGTCAAGGACACGTCACAGAGATCGTGTGTGACTGGCCCAAGATAATATTATGGTGTCTTGTCCAAACGGTTCCTCAGTAAGTTCAGAATTTCATATGTGCCCGTTCAAAGGATTCGAAAGGATCCTTTCGGGCTGTGACCATATTATATTATAATTATAGCTGAGCACGCTGCCTTGTTGAATTTATCGACTTCGTGAGCAACGTGGAGACAATAATAATACGCAATATAACTTGAGTTATTTTAGTTTTGGATGATTAGGTGACTTTATGCCTTTTATAAATACTTCGTAACTTTAATTTTCTCGTTTGTTCAGTGTTCATTAAGTATAAATAATAAATATATATATATATGTATAATATATATGAAATCATTGTACAAAAAGTAATAAAAGAAAAAAAAATGATGAATGATGGTTATCTAGAAATATATTAAAAAGTTTGAGATTTTTTCATACCCGCTACACTTGGTTACTTATAAATAGCTTCTATCAAATATTACGTTTTTATGTTATCATTATGTTAAATATCTTTTAAGTTCTGAAATAAAATGAGAAMAAATCATTTGAAGCATTTCGAAATTATTCGACAAAAACTCCATAGTTTTATGTATTTACACTTGGGAATGTGGATTATATTGGCAGTATAAATTTTGCTAATAACAAATACTGTGAATAAACAGAAAGATAAATAAATCTCTAGGGAAAGTTTCAATTTTATAAATCTTAAACTAACACTTTAGTATTTATACATAAATTATAGCATTTGGTTTACACGAGTTGACTTTATAGGTTTTTTGTTGTTGTTTTCTGTTTAACATTAAATACATTCATCATTACGTAAAAGTTTTTTTCGGTGGAAATATTTTGGCAGTTATTTAAATCTATATAATATTATATATTGATAATATCAAATATCTAAGACCTAAGTGATAAATTATAARAATATCAATGTTCATAATTTAAGTGATATGCAAATAGATTCATAGATATCATTATTATGTCTGAAAAGTATATTTTTATAAATAATTAATAAATATTCGATTGTTATTTTATTAATTTACAATTAAACGCAAAAATATTCAATATATAATATTGAACATATTTTATAAATGAAATATTATAATAATTTTAATATACACAAAATAGAGACATTTAGTTGAATAATATAAAATTATACTATTGGGAGAAAATCAGTCATATAAATCTTTGGATGAGGTTAGYAGGTTAGTAGTTTTGACTTAGTAGGTATCTATAAAATTATCATATATTATACGTCACGCCGTAAGAGACCAGMTATAGTACTGAACGAATATAATAATTGTAAATTATATGATTAAATACTATTTGAAAAGTTTCTATAGGCATTTTCACAACTTTTCACTTATCATAGGTCATCTGTTGATAATAGAATGCTCATTTGTCTTAATAGTTATTCACTCATTAAGTACTAATTAAACTATTATATWATATAATGTACTTTATAATTTTATATACACGATGGAGTTTATGTTTGGACTTTATTAAGTATGTATTATTAAAAGTTAAAACCATAACACCGTTATAATAATTATATGTTAGTTGGAAACTGTTAGTTCCCGCATGTTAGTTGGATAAAGATAACAATAGGATTATATTATAAACCATAGTCCAGCCTTTATTTTTAAAGTTTTGTAAACACATATTTAAAYGTATACCGCATATAGTATTTGAATAGTCGTGTAAAGTTTATAATAATGTTTGGTTTAACATACCTGGGTTTTAACCCTGGGTTTTAAGCTAAATTTAAAYGAAATATTTATAAGTTAAAGACTTGAATGTACATCCACATTGTTTATTTTATAAGCGCGTTTCCTGTATCATTTTTGGATATATWAGTTAAGGCAATCAATAATTATGTTGGAATAGAAAACTATTTTTATTATGTCAGTACATTTCAAAACAAATGATTAGAGTAACGTTTAGAGCATTTATCGCAGAGAAATACACGCTAAGAATTAMAAATTTAAAAGTTTAAAAACAATTTTGAATTATTATTTTARTCAAGGAGAGTAAAAGACTTGTAAGCTTTCTTTTGATTTAGTATAATTAAATTATTAGGTATAGACGTATTAATTAAGGTTAAATAAATAAAACGAACGATCATTATAAATATCTACTGCTTGAATATCGACTTCTTGTCTGTAAATTCTATAGGTCATTCAATAATCTATAGTTTTTATTATTTATGTACCATTATTGCATTAAATTAAATTAAATTAACATTATATTATAATATCACTTTTCTCAATTTTCACCTGTCGTGGTAGTTATACTTATATAAATTATTATATAGTTTTATAAAATTAAAATGCTATRAAAATTAAAACCGTGTACCTATGTGACTGACATAATTTTGAACTTAATGTATAAATAATAAATATATTATAGACCTTAAATTATTAATTCACTTATTTCACTTATTTCACGCCCATATAATATATATATAAATGTTTTAATTTTAAACCCAGAATTTAGAGAACCTAATGTAATTTAATCTTAAAAGTAGACACTTATAGTTACTAGTTGCACATACATACATATTATATAAAGTTTGTTAAAAAACTATATTATAAACACGTTCTATACATACAAATAATGAAATGCAGTAATGTTTCTTGAGAATACATAAAAGTATAAAAGAGTTTTATATCTGCAAATATTATTTTAATTTAATTTTATTTGTTTTACTTTGAACTATAAAATTTTTTTCTTATAACTTTGCACAATCTCTGTATATTTTTATCAAATAAATCATTGTAATCATTTTAAAGTAAATTTTATCAATTCTCTTTGTAATATCTTTAGTATAACTACACAAAATATGATGATATTACTATAGTATGGAATATCTCATTCCCTCCAAAGTCTAATTAAATTCAATRTTGTATACATGTTATTTTGTATTATTAAGGTGAAAGGAGGTTTATTTTTCTTTTATGGTAATCTGTAACTTATTTGATGTTAACTTTACCATTATTATTTAATATAAAAATATTTTCTGGACACTAAGCCACGTTTGTTTTATCAAAAACTAAATTATTGAACCATTGAGACTTTTTAAGTATAACAAATACAATATTTAAAAAAAAAAATAAATATTTTTTTACTGCACTATACTTTGTTATTCTCAATTTTTTATTGGAGAATAATGTGATGAAAATTAATTTAAAACCGACATATTATTAGATATTAGAAGGCGAACAGTCAAAGAAACTCAAAATGAATATGTTAATAAAATAAAATATATGTAGACAGTAGCACTAAACATCCATGAATTAATTACCGAGTTAAACATTTAATTGAGTTATTACAATCTAGACGGGTCTATATTGTATAATATTATAACCATATATGTATATTCTATTTTAATCACTCATATTATATGAGGCGATGAGCTTAAAATTTCTGTATTTGGGTTTTTTTACTAGGACAGGTTGAAAATGGTTTGTATATAAACATCATGTAACCATTAATTCATTACTTATAATAATAGAATAAGCACTAAACAGTGAATTTAGAATTTATATGTTCTGTTGAAGCTCAGAACTTCAGTAGAGTCTAAACATCTTAAGCCTCTAGATAGAGTAAAACAATAGTTAATAGACATCAAAATATGACAAATATTATAAACTATATTATTCGTATACTCGTATGGTATAAGTCTTTATAACATAATTCCATCAGTAGGAAATGGCTAGGAAACCATAATTACTAGTTATTACCATAATATATTATAAATTATTTGTTGAAAATATGCATATACAGTGGTTTGATAAGCAGAAAAATATATTATTCACTACGCGTGCTACCCAGTACTCATGATGTTGAGCAGAACTTAGATTTGTTTATAATATGTATTATAAAGAATAGAAAATGTTCATCTTGATAAGATTCAACAGAATTAAGATACTATTAAATAACTTAAAAAGTTATGAATAACGATCACTTCAAAATTATCTTATGATATTAAAAATTCATATTACAGGTAGGTAGCAGGTACCACACTTTAACTCGTTATGTCACGAGAATATGGTATTAAAAATTCTGAGAAAAGTTTTTGTAAGGGACACAAGAATTCTTAAGTTAGAATATTCGTCAAAATTAAATAATATTTAATTAAGACAGATACAGCTCGCAATTCAATTTTAATGTAGGTAGTTGAGTAGTTCCAAGATCTGTCATCAAAACTCGGAGTTATAAGTGATTACCACGACGAATAAAATGTATATTATCTATAATACTATTGAAAATATTAGATATACCTATAGAAGTAATTTAAGAAATTGAATTTGTTTTCTTTTAATGCTCTTAATCTGTAAATTATGGCTAATAATCGTTTGAAGGTTTATTATTACAGGTTACAGCTGGTTAGAACATGTGTATGTGTGAAGAGAATTCGTTACTAAAACCCCAAACGATCACCCAGCCAGGAACTAGTGACACAAACTGATGCTTACACTTAAAACACGTTTCATATATGATACAAGCACCGTGACAAATTGCCATCTTTAAATATAAGGYTATCATAATGTTCTACTAAAAATATAGTTTATTAAGAATTTTTGCAATAATTAATTCACATATTTTCGTCAAAAACATTTGGATACATATCACATGTGAATAAATTTATTCATATAAAATATACATTGTGCATATAGATTCTATAAATTTTATTATTCAATTTTATCAGAATGATTTTTTAAATTGGATATAACTATTTACTGGTTTAATGAAAATATTGAATTTTATTATTTTTAAGGCTACCCTTTTCAACATAATTATTAGACAAGAATTTATGTATTGGAAAATGAAAATAATAGTTTATTATTTTCAATTCAAGGTTGAAATATCTCATATTTATCAGAAGAAAAGAAATCATTATTATGTATATATGTTTTATAGTAAGCACATAATGCATGATTTGGAAAATAAACTCAATGTTAAGTAGTAAGTACTATAGAGTATAGGTTATAAAAAATKATGTCATACATATCTTATATTATAATAACTGGAAAAAGAACGAATAAAAATAAACATATTTACCGAAGAAGACATTGAAGACGTACATGAGCTTGTTCTTTCTGAATTGTGAAATTGAAGACATTATTATTTGCTTTCTGGAGTTTTTCTTGAGTTTAATCTAAAGTAATAAAAATCGTAATGTTAAATAACAGAATTTTTACATCAAATTAAATAAAACACATTATTTGATCCGTCCTATAAAATTTTCAAGCACAAAGATCAGGGTTCATTGTAGTAGTGTACCATAATACCACAATGTAAAGATAAATAGCTGGTAAGGAGGGAGCTATTGACGTGTTCACGGAAAAAATATAAATACTTTTAAATACCTATTAAATCAATACACAATACATATTATTCATTGAATATAGAATAATTACTGTTTCAGTTTTAAGACATAATTGTAAAATTCAAGTTTTTTGTAGAATCTTAGAAATCGTTTTACACGGTCCAATAAAAAATGTGTACTTTAACACTTCTATACTTGAAGTAAAGTGTCTTTAATATCTATGTGATTGACAATCACGACATCAGTTTGTAYTGTATTTCTGGTTTTCCGTCTAACAAATCTGACACACGCAAAATTAACTGATATCTATGTACTATGTTATCTAAAGACTAACGTCTGTTACATACAGTATATGTATAGGTACAAGGAAATATAATTATTAAATCATAAAACTAATAAAAATTTGTATTTTTGTTTTTGTTTTTTTTTTTGTTTTTAAGTCGCTTTAATTTTTCCCCTATGACGAGCCAATGCGATCGCCTGGTTCATTTTTTCAAAACATTCTATACCGTTATTCGCTCTTAATATACCTTTTACAGATCTCGTTCCAATTTTCAGCAAAATTATATGAAATGCATGGCAAGCCAAATGGGCTTTATCACTGCCAAAATTCGCCTAAGGGTATAAAAGCGTATCGCCCACAATTACATCTCACACATGACTTCTGAGAACTGAAAATATCCAGGAACCTCGTAGGTAGAAGACTTATTATCCCGTATACGCTTCGGGTAAAACATTTTCCTAAATCATTTCATTTGACTTTCCTCCAATTTGTCACATCTTTATGTAATATGTACCTATCATACGTTTAAATTAGCTTTCCAATTAAAAATATATTTTGATTTTAATTTTTGATCCAGTTTTTTTGTAACTAAATTTCTGTGCTATAATATTTTATACAAAAGAAAAAATTTAAGGTTTAAACTGTTTTATTTAAAACGAATAAATTACCAAATCAGTTTTGAACATAAGCACATAACTATATAACCATTTAAAAGYAAACGTAATTATAATAAAATAACGAAAACATTGGACATCGGTTTATTAACAGAATTAGTATGTAGAAATAATTTTAATATATCATTCTTGTATGTCACTGGAAACATAATTCACTTATTCATTTTAAAAATGTCCACAGTGGGAAGATTTCTAGCGACAATGGTCCAAATAGTTTATATTGTATTTCATACTACACACGGTCAAAACTTTTGGCGGCTGATGCAAAATTCATTAGTAGTGCTTTGTCATCTAAACACAAAAAAGTTTCCAAAAGGTCGTGAGGTAGTGTTTTTGAATTTTAAATTTCACGACAGCCGGATGCGAAGCCTTCACTTCCGAATTCCGTTTAGCCCTCGGGTGCGTGTTTGGACATCCGGTATGCAAAATTCGTCGGAAAACAATCTTTCGACCTCCAGTGTAACAAAAATGTCATCGTATATTTTGGTGCCTAGGTAATATATATTAATAAAAAATAATAAAATACACCCTTCACGCCAGATGATAGATTCATTGTGGTTTTATTCTCTTCTGGCAGTACGGGTTTGAAAAATGGCATGTCGAAAGGCTTCATGATAATAATATTAGCATTTATAAGAGATTTGGTGATTTTTATGACGCTGTCGGACGATGAAAAGTAAAACGAAATATTATTAAAATGTTTGATACGTTTACAATATCATTGAAATATTTGAGTTCTGAAAAGTGATCAATATAATATTATAATGTATAAATTGTCAGCTGATTTTATTTATGTTTATCGATTAGAATTGTAAACAAAAGACACAATACGCCGAAATAATATAATTTATAAAACAGGGTCATCCGCAAAGGGGAACAACAAGGTAATAAAAAAATGTATTATATCATGCTAAAATGTATACGAATATTATAGTATTCTGGTATTCATGAGCTAGGCAAGTTCAATAGTATATACAAAAAAAAATATTTGAAAATTTCACAAAGTTCACAAATTTTAGATTATAGGGGAAATGATCAAACATAATACGATACACAATAAACTGATAAGCCAGATCATATTTTGTATTGTTTCAAAATAGTGATAACCATTAATAATACAAACACAATTAACCTAATTAATAATATGGTAATGAAATGATAATAATTAATGGTTATCATCAGATTTTAATGAAATAGTATTTCCTCCAATGCTGTTCACTATAAACCGTTTAAAATACATTTTATTAATAATAAGCTGTTGTTACCAATTATAATGGTTTTAATATTGAAAAAAAAAACAGTAAAATATGAATTTTTTGAATTATATTGAAAGGGGGATTTTAAATATTTGGCACAGAAAGTGATACAATGCGTGATCATGATTTAGAAAAGATGTGTTATCATAACAACATTGTAATATTATATTAAATTTATATAAATGCATATAATATTATAAATATATTCACGATTAAATAAAAAAAAATAATATGTTATTTTAAACAGTTATCCTGCACAAGTACTTTTACCTACTTCGATAAGACCTTTAAACTATTCGGACAATTTTTGAAAAACTTATGCGCGTTTTCATGACATCATTTCGTTTCAAAGAAAATTAATAAGGTAGGTACTGAAAATGATTTTTAGTACCAGGTAACATAAAAAGTTATATTCTAAGTATATGTTGTTAAAAGTTTTAAATTTTGATTAATTGAATTATAAACTTTTTATTTGTTTAATTTAAATATGTACCTATTGTTGGTAGGTACATAGTTTAGTTTCAGGATCGAGTTAAGATGTAATTTTGAAAAAAAATTAATATCCATTATAATATGTCTATAATTATTATTGAATTAAAATATTTTTAAATTCACTGAAATATAAAGATAAGTTGTTTTGTGGTTATATTATTATGATGTTAAGATCATGTATTATGAAAATATATAATGTTATTTATAAGTAACATAATATACTATATATTTCTACTTAGCTGGGCTTATAATAATATATTATTTTTAAAGTTCAAATTTATGAGTTTTATGTTTAAAATTGTATACATCAGGTCAACAATATTGGTATCTCGGATATAATTCACCGCTTGGGGAAATTTTGATCATCATCCACCCTATCGCTGTAACCTTATCTTATAATGTGGTTTAGCCACAATAACTGTCCAAACTCTACAATAAAGTACATCAGTTTTGTCTGGGCAACGTTCATTTTCTGTGCTCCTATTCAAAGAACTCCCCCCTCCACGAACCGTGGCCTAACCTATATCTCGTCCATTCATTGCGTCAGTAACACCCTGTAAATTTTTTGGGTAAGGTCTGAATAAATAATGAGTAATAGAGGGTTTTCGCACGACCGAATATCATCGAACTCGTCACGTAATGCCTAGTTTTTGTACAAAATTCAATAACCCTGTTAACCTTTTGGATAATACATATGCGTGTGTTTGGGTGAAAAAACAATTTTGGAATATTGTTTTAGTACGGAAATATTTGAAACATGTTTTGTATGTTGATTTACAAAATTAAATATATTATCGTATCGGTATTAAAAAAAACACACACACATATGAATTTAAATGTACGTATATGAAAACAATGGTTATTTTAACAACGTTATATGTAATCTATCTGTTGATCACAAAAGGTTTTTATAATTTACAATATGTAGGCAGCCCAAATAGAGGTAAAGGTATACCTAATAATAATTTTATATTATCTTTGATAATATAATAGTGGAATTTGATTAAAATTACATTTAAAGGATTTATATGAAAATACGGTACCTAGTACCTACCTGCGCATAATATAGAAAAGATATTTTAATATTTATTTTATRCCTACCCAAACACCTATGACGTATATGGTATTTTGACATATTTGTATATAATTTATTTATAAATATTATACAAAAGGTTAAACGTATATTGTATCAATTATTTGAAAAACGTGTGAACTACCCCCATTATATTATGTAATTATTATAAACTATTTGTTTCTAAAAATGATATAAAACCATAATAGGAATATAWWATAATATTATAAATTATAAAACATTTCAATACGTTTTATTGGAGTAATAAAAGGTACATATTACAACCACTCATAGAATGGAAATATTGAACCCAAACAATACACTTGTCATGAGTTACGACTTATGACAGTTCAGTTTGATTAATTTTTTGAAAACTTTATGTGAAAAACAAATAATTCAATATTTTTAACTAATAATATGTTATAAAATTTGTACTAGACACATAAACA